GCTTTGTGCCAAAAACCGAGTCAAAGACTAAATATTAGAACACAAGATACTCCCAGCACCCCTATTGCTCAAGAAATTACAAGGGTTTTAGGAGCTACCGGGAACCCAGGGACAGAGACCAAATATATGTTTCCTACTATAAATCACAATATTATAGAGGCTAATAACAGTAGTTTCTATACTTCATAAGGCTGATGCAAGCTGTAAATGAATTAATACACATAACATTCTTGGAAAGGTGCCTGGTGCCCATGGAGGGATAGACAATGCCAGTTGCTGTGGCGTAGGCTGCCTGGGGCTAAGGTGGTGCTCCTCGACCTGGGCTGAATGTTGGACCACCTGGCTTGGTTCTGACTCCCAGAGATTCTGATTTAATTGGTCTAGGGTAAGCCTGGGCATTGGGATCTTCAACATTTGCAAGGGAGATTATAATGCAGCACTGTCCAATAAGAAATATAAAGAGAGTTGCATGCAGTATGTTTTCTAGAAGCCACATTCTAAAAGGTGAAATTAATTTTAATAATGTTAGTAATGTCTTATTATTGATATATAATTAACAAATAATGTATTAATGGTAAATTCTATTTAACTCAATGTATTCCAAATATTATAATTTCAACATAGAACCGACATAACAATGATGGAGATATTTTACATTCTTTTTTTATACTAAATCTTTGAAATTGAGCCTGTATTTTACACTGGAAGCACATCTCAATTCAGACTGGCTACATTTCAGGGGCTCAGTAGCCACCTCTGGCTAGTGGTCACTGCACAGGACAGCACGGGTATGACGAATGTGCAACCCAGATTGAGGGCCACGGGGGAGGGCATGCCTGGTGGCTGTGCACCAGGCCAAAGCCATCTAACTACGCAGGGGCTCTGTCAGCGTTGCTGTTCTTGAGTACCCAGGGAGTGGGCTGTAGCTTCCCCCGTTAGGGTTAGTAATGGGGTGTGGTCCTTAGAGACATTCAGCCAGTCCCAATTTAGCCTTAAAAATTGGTTTCCAGCTTATGGAGCCAATTTGAAAGCATTGATATCAACTAAAGCAGGTGAATCTATCCGGCTTGGTGCTACCAGAGGGGAGAGAGGGACTGAGGGAGCATTAGAGAGTAGAGGTAAAACAGTGATCAGCTTTGTCTCCCTGTCAGTGAGCCCACAGCTCCGGCAAAGGGGTCTCTGGGTAGCTAGGCAAAGCGTACGGAATGGCTGTTAGATAGACCCTTGATACTCCATGCAATGCTCTGATTCGGAACGTTCTACTCAAGTCCAAACGTCATTGAGTATTATATAGGCTGTGATTCTCTTCGAAAACTCTTAGATTTACTCTATAGGGGAAGATAATTCACCCTCTCTATTCTTTCCTATGACGAAAAACTAACATTTAAGAATAACTTTGCAAATTTATCCTAAAAACAAAAGAGATTTTCGAAAAAGACAAAAATAAAGATCTGCAATCCCAGCATTTAGAGATAAGCACCTAAGTATGTGTTCTTCCAGAGCTTTTTGATGTGCACTCTTACACACATTTTAATAAAAACAGGATCCAGTGGGCAGTACTCTTTCATAGCATGCTGCTGTTGCTTCTATTTTTAGAGATGAGGTCTCGCTGTTGCCCAGGCTACAGTGCAGTGGTGCCGTGACAGCTCCTGGCAGCCTCGAATACCTGGCCTCAAACAGTTCTCCTGTCTCAGCCTCTCGAGTACCTGGGACTATAGGCATGCACCACACCTGGCTCATTTTTCTTACTTTTTGTAGGGATGGGATGTTACTATGTTGCCCAGGCTGGTCTTGAACTTCTGGGCTCAAGTGATACTCCCACCTCAGGCTCTCAAAGTGCCGGGATTATAGGCGTGAGCCACTGTGCCTGGCCTATAGCATGCTTCTTTGTCATTTAATGTTCTTATGAGTATATTTTCACATAATTTAATAATCTACAACATCATTTTAAAATAGTCGCATATTGTACCTTTGGCCGAATAATGACATACTTAACCAACACCTTATAATTAGCCATTTAGGTTGTTTCTCCCAAATGGCTAATCACACCATAAATGATGGCACTAAAAGAGCAGCTTTTGGCCTCTGACTCCAATGTGCTTCTTGCCTGAGAGCTAACTGAAGATGATGCAGAAGAAAATGAGACAGAGCTTTGTACCTACAGTCTCACCAACCCTGACCCATTTTGCAGTTTAATCTGGCCTGGACGACAGCCAGTGAGATGCAGTTTGCAGAGGAATAAGTCGTAATGCTGCAAAAATGATCCCAGACAACTCAGCTGCAACTGACACCATAATGTGCCGCCTACAATGGACACCAAGTTTTCTCACTGCTCTGCTAAGAAGGACCTGCAAACCCCAGAGAGACTCCATCTCATGCTAACTGTGTCAACAGCAGCTTGTGCTTGGGTTTGGAATGACTTCAGTTCTCCCTGTTGCCATTTTTCCCCTTCTGGTCTTAGTATTAATCACGTCTTTGGAATAGAGTCATTCCTGCAGTAGGTTTGTGGGTGGGTTAAAAAAAATTAATAACCCAAGAAGCCTCTGAATTTAAGATTTGAGTTTCTCTGGCTTATATAATTTGCATAATTATTTGTTCATGCAGCATTTGTATATCACTTTTCTGATCGTTTTATATTGTATGAAGTTTCCTGGCTATTCTCCAAGTGCTAGTTTCTCAACCTGCCTATGCAGTCATCTTCCCCATTGCAATAAAGCAAATAAATGGCTGCAGAGCTGCCCAGAATTCAAATAAGGTAAACATCAGCTTTTTGAGCTGCTAAACTGAATCGGACACCTCAAACTGTTTGAGGGAACAATATCTCTTCTGTTTTATTAATTCTATTAAAACCCTACTCAGAGGAAAAAATAGTGACGTTTCCTAAAACTTGGAAGACCAAGAAAATTTACTGTCTGCTGTGATTCAATGTGCCTTGTGTCTTTGTGCCATGCATAAGCATCATTAGTCACTTTTGAGGTGGACTGGCGTGCTTGCATTCAATCCATTATATATCCACATGCAAATTCAGCAAAACAAGTATTTATAGTGTCTTTACCCTGTACCAGCTCTCTCTGCCATGTCTGCAGAGACAGATACGAGCAAGAAATATTTCTGCCTTTGAGGAGTCGAAAGTTTAATGGGGGAGACACACGCACTCCCTAACTATAGAATTCAACTCCAGCTTAGATAAGGGCTAACAAGGAAGTAGGAACGCGATGCCCCGGAGCACCCCCAGGAGGCGCTGCATTTGGCTGTGGTTGGAGGAAGGCGTCTGAGCCAAGGTGATACTTGAGTTAGGTGTGAAGGAAAGACAAAAGCGGAGTGGGCAGGAGAGGCTAAGGGGACAGTCTGAACAATTTCGCATGTGTTCAAATGCAGGCTGCGGTGAGAAAGCGGCAAACCATTTATTCGTTGAGGCTGTCGCCAAAGCCGTGAATGGGGGAATGGAGCCATATGTCGCTGCAGAAGCAGGCTGGAGTCAAATTTATGATGAACTTTGGTCATTAAAGACCTTAGACTTATTCTACAGAAGAGGGAGCTCTTGAAGTCTTTTGGGAGGGGGTGTGGCGTCATGAGATCTGTATTCACGCTGGCAGCAGCGAGGATGGAGACATGGAACCAGTTAGGAGGACATTTCTGTAGAAGACTTTCAGTGTCTGCATTTATAGAGTTGGAGTGTTAACAGCACTAATTCAAAGGGTTGGGGTGGGAAGTGAATGACTTACTGGGTCTAAAGCTCTTAGAACAGTGCCTGATACAAACACTCGATATCATTAGCCGTTTTGCAGTGTGTATGTGTGCGTGTGTACGTGTGTGTGTGTGTATTTGGTGCTCTCTGTGTATCAGACACATTCAAAATACTGGAAATAAGAAGACGCAAGGTGGTGCGAACGCCACCCTGAAGAAGCTCGTAGTTGAGTGAGGACAATGGCTGGGAATGAACAGTGACAGGCCCTGTGTCAAGCGCTCTAGTACAGTGACGCGCCGCACCCTCGGGGAGCGGAGGGGAGGGCTGAGTTCAGCCTGTCATCTGCAGATCACAGCAAAGTTCACCGGTTTCCGTCTCGTTTGCCCTCCTTTAAATTCCCTGTTTTCTTTTGTCTGCCTCCCTTGGTGTGGGAAGGGGATACCAATTTATTCTCGATCTTTCATTTAAAAAGGAAAATCGGTTCATTTCACAAAGAACTTCACTGTTTAAAATTCTAGCTTCCTTGAGTGGGGAAATAGATACAGGGTGTCCCTGGGCTGTGGGGTTGGGGGTGTGAGGTTGGGGGTACACTCCCCCCCCGCCAATGGACACAGGAAGGTGGGAGCAGCCAGGGGGGGACTCCTGGGCAAGGACAGTCACAGAACGGGCTTCAATTAACAGGATTTAATTAAACCACAGGGGCAACCCAGGGCCTTGGGTGAGGGCAAGGTGGAGAGGGGAGGTGGGGCAGGTGGGGTGGGGAGGGGTTGCTGCCCTCTTGGGGGATGTGTGGCAGTGGTAGGGGTTAGTGAAAGGGAGCTAATACAGTGGGTTTTCTGCTTCTCTGCTTTGGGTCTAGCTACCTGATGCCCGTATCTGTCAGTGACCCAAATGGGAAGGGCTGTGACATTTAGTGGGCTTCATTTTATCTTCTTTTTCAACGTGCATTGCTATATTGAAGACACCCTGCCACTAAAGAGGCTGTTGAGGGGAAGCCTGGAAACACCTTGCACCTCAATGGATTTTCGGAATCTCTTGGTATTTTCTGCTGCCGGCTGCTTCTCAAATGGCACCGCTACTCCCAGTATCCATTTTCTGTTTGTAAAACGTCTCATACACACAATTGCATTTGGATTTTCACGACATCCCGATAAGGTAGGCCCTTACAGGACGGGCCTGACTGTTATTTTTGTAGGACAGATGCTGGTAGGTGCAGGTAAGCTTGTCCAAAGGCCAGGGCCAGCGTCGGGGCTGGACGCCAGCTGTTGGACACCCCTGTGGGCTGCTGCAAGCAGTGAGCCAGACTGCTTACCTCCCTTCCTTCTTCCACAGAAAGAAAACTTGGGCTGGTCCTCCTCACAGATGGGATAGGAGAAGTTCAAAATAGACGATCCTTTAGCGGTAAGAGCTATGTCGAGAAACAGCTCTTTGATGTCCTCTCCTGAAGGAAAGAGAAGAGCAGCTTTGCTATTATCGTGTGTTTCACCGCAGAGCAAGGCATCCAAAGTTTATAATGGTGTGAGCTAAAGGACCTTTCGTTTCCTTTAGTCTGCTCTGTCTGGGGAGCAGTTTTCTTCTTTTCTTGGTAAGACAGCATTTGGGCAATGCTACAGGGGATCGGAATGATGACCTTGGGTATGGAAGGTGGTCCTTTCCCAAACTATACCTGTTGGGGCAAGGTCGTTAATCTGCTGTGCTCCCCTACCCCAATGCTTTGGCCTCTTAATATGATTTCTGCAGGTCTGGCTTCTAAAGCTTCTCAGCTACTTAGTGTTATTTATCCCCCATGACAGAGCTGGTGTGTGATCGAGCCTACAGACTCCTGCTACTGTTGTCAGGCAAATACTGCACCATGGTTACCCAGGAAGCTTCAGGGGTCTCCGTGGGGGTGACTTTCGATTCTCTCTGCCTTTTTCTCCATTACTCCCTTTTATTTTCCACCCCCTCCTGCTTCTATTCCTCTTTTCTCTCTTTCTCTCCCCATAGCATTTCTTGAGTTGCTGCTAAAGTCCAGATATTGTGCAAGATTCTAGAAATACAAAGAGGCATGAGAGTTCTTGATCTCTGGGAATGTTTCCTCCATTTCTCTGAAATGATCCCACATGTAAAGTTTATTAAATGTCTCAGCTCTGGTTTTGGTAAAACTGTTTTAGAAAAGGAGATACTCTGGTAGCTACAGCAAATATATTGGCTAACTGCAATGGCGCGATCATATAAAAATTAAACAGTCAGAAAGTGCTCTAGCTCATTCATTGGGGTTGGGGAGATGGTATTATATCTCTTCTTTGCCTGTGTCAAGGTTTAGGAACTTACATTAGCTATTTGGGATATGAAATAACACAAATGACAAACCATGCTGCTGGCAGTAGATTTGTTTGTTGCTGAGATAACTAAGCAAAAGCTCTCTCCTGAGTAGACATCAATATTTAGTCTTGAAATATTTTCCTTTCTTTTTTTTGCTGGGTATACTAATTCCAGGTGCTTATGTTGTCCAAATGAGTGCCTAGAGTCTTTTCAGTACAAAAGTACACCATTAAATGAGAGTTCTACCTTACCTGGATATTACCCAGAGAGAGATTTGAAAATTAAAATGGAAATAGAGTTAATTCCAGAGCGTGGAGGAGGAACAGTGGTTTAGCCAGTGATTATAGTTAATATGAGTCACTGGATGTGTGAAGTCGGAAGAGGCTATGCAATGTTTTATTTCATGCTAATCGTTTTTACTTACTCAGAATAATTCCGAATCTAATGTTGAGATTTGATTTTAATTGATTGGAACACTGGTCCACAGAAAAGCCAAAATCCTGTAATGGATCTGCCAAGAAGAAAACAAGAGATTAATTGTGAGTACATTGTATATTCTACAAACTCACATTCAAAATTTGTACCATACTAATTGCTTTTACACGAATCCCTGACTGCATTCAAAAACATTGCCCAGTGCCTTTTTTTAAATAAGTCCATGACGTTTTCAGCAGCTCCTCCAAGTCTCTTCAAGGTCAATGTCAGGTTCCCTCTGTCACCAGAGCCCCCCTCATGAAACGAGCCCTGTGTCTTGCTGGTTGGGCTATATCTTTACTTGTTAATGTTTTTATCATTTAAAATTTTTATCATTGCTTGAATTCTTTTAGTTTTTGAACTTTTGGCCTTAAATTGCTCATTCATTGCCCAACATATTTCATGAAACATTTATTATTATAATGAAAATAGAGGGAGACATACATAGATTTTCAAAGTTAAGACCTGCCTTTGTAATTGCATTTCATCCTATCCCATCTCATCCTGTTCAATGTAATATTTTTTTTCCAGATATTCCACTATATGCAAGGCATTGTGTTAGATATGATAGGGGCTATAAAGATAATATTTTTTGCACATAATTTCCGCTCATTCAAAAGGCTCCAGGGGCTCATCTAGGCCTCAGAATAAAGTCCAGACGTGTTCTGCTGCCCCACCTTCCATACTCCGCATCACAAATCCGTCCTCCGTGCACGCCCAGCAAATTCCCACCAGGTTTGATTTGCTTGTGGGCTTTGTCCCATTTGAAATGGTCTCACTCCTTTGGCCATTGTCTAAACACTCATGTCTTGCTCCTTCTCCTCTGGTCTGTGAAGGCTTCCCTGATAGCCTCCCAAATATTCTTTTGCTTCTTTGAATTCTTAAAACCGTATGCCTGATGGGAGGATCACTTGAGGTCAGGAGTTTGAGACCAGCCTAAGCAAGAGTGAGACCCCATCTCTACTAAAAATAGAAAAAATTAGCCAAGTGAGGTGGTGCATCCCTGTACTCCCTCCCTGGGAGGCTGAGGCAGAAGGATAACTTAAGCCCAAGGAGTTTGAGGTGCTGTGAGCTATGATGACACCACTGCACATTAGCTGGGGCGACAGAGCGAGATTCTATCTCAACAACAACAACAACAAACCAAAAGCCAGTATCCCTGAGATTCTTTTTAAAGTGTGCACACATGTATTACTTTGTACTTTGCTCTGTGGTTTATCCCACAACACTTAATCTAAACGTGAGATTCCTTAAGGCCAAGGCTGGTTTCTTGTTTTGTTTTGTTTTATTTTCCATTTCCTTTTCCTTTATGTTTCCCACTGGGCCTGAGAGAAAAGTGCTATATTTAATGGGGGTCTATCTTGTACTAGTCACTGAGATGAGTACTTTATAAGAGTTTCCACTGAATTCTCCAGACTCCCCAGTGCCTGGCACAGAGCCTCGCAATCTGACACACGGTCAGCACTCCATAAATGTACACAATGCATGGCTGAATGTGTCCTGTATTAAGCTGTTTCTCAGCCCCAAATCCAGTCTCCTGTGCTCTGCTTTGGAGAGCTGGGGCACTCTGCAATCATGTTTCTGCCTTGCTATCTGTCGGTCAAGGTGCCAGAGGGACATGGAGGCTGGAGCCGTAGGAGGAGCTTTGCTCCTTCTTGCATACTTGCTGAGAGTGTTGCTGGTGATGGCCCATCACCCTGGCGGTGGCAGGTAGTTCTAGCATCCAACTCTTGTCTGCACTTACCCAGAATCAGCTGAGGCTCAGCTCTGTGGGTCCCTAAGCTTCTGCAATAACAGTACCTGGGTAACTGCTGTTACCCATTCCTCAGCTCCACAGTGTCCTTCTTTCAAGCACCCAGATTCTAATCACCCCAAACTCTGCACTTTGCTCTCCCAGACCTCAGGGTGGTAGCTGCTCCTTCGCTGTTCTTTCTTTGCACTTTTGGTTCTCCAGTGAATTCCCTACATTAAATTCCCCCTGTTAAAATAACTGATATAGTCTCTGTTTTCCTGACAGGACTCAGGGTGCTAGAATAAACAACAATTGGGGGAGACAAATATGATTTTCCTTATTTCACTTATGTAAAAATATAGATTCAGAGAGGTTGGTATTAACTTATCCAGATCCCCACAGTAGAAAGCGTCAGAGTCAAGATTCAAAGCCAGAGTTAAAAACAAACAATTTGCTGCCTGGTATTGTGCAGTGATACTCACAGAGTAGAACCTTAAATACATATGTTAATTATTTGATTTGTACGATTGCCCAGAATATCTTGTGTGCAGGCATATGGCACCTCGTAGTCCTATTTCATAACTGGGTTCCATTTCAGCTTAGCTCTGAGCTTACGTTTTCCAACGATAGTGCTCCAGACAGTTTTATCGGAGACACAACTAACCAGAGAGATTCATCATTGTCTGTGGTACATGCCGTGAAAGTGACCACTAGGCAATTTCAGCCTTGCAAATCTAATGAGTGCAATTTTGTTTGATCAAAACCCCTTTGATCTGGTCACTAATTTTTCCCAGGAAGAAAATCCCTTGTTTTCTTATACTCATCGGACTCTTCCCTAAGCATCTTTGTGCTGTGTCAGGGCTCCTTTCAGCTTGGAAAACAGGATCGAGGAGTGTGGAGACAACAGTTCCTAACCTGGGAAGAGGCTGTGAAACTTCAGCTAATTCAGCTGTACCGAGGCACATTCAGGAACAAGAAGAGGGGGCCGTGAGGGGCTGGTGAGCGAAGACTTCCGGTGGAAGGAACTATACACTTAGGACTCAGTATTGAGAAAGACAGAGGCCAATGGACATATGTTTAAGCAGGTGTATTCCCAAAAATGTGGATAAATTTAAGTTGCTACCTGAGGCAAAATAAAATCAGCTAAGTATGTATTGCTTAGTTAATTAGCAGCTACAAAACTATACTGTATGTTTATAAATATTTTAAGACATGAATAGAAAGAATCAACCAAGGGCAGGAGAAGGAAATAAAGCATTTCCTTGGTACTGAAAAAATATCACTGTTAGGAAAATAATCGTAATAAGGAACAAAGTTGCAAAGAAAGCAGTAGGTTGATTTTCTCTGAGGATATGTATATATAAAGAAGCAGAAAGACAGATTGCTTAAAAAGTGCTTAAGGGTTTGGTGAGCTTTCCTAGCAGCTATTTCAAATTTGTGTGTGAGAGTGATGTCTTTGAGTGTAAACATGCAATTTGTAGTCCTCTTGGGAAAAGTTTCCTCCCTCCCCCAATCCCATCCTCACAAATTCATGCCCTTCTCTGTATTTATTTGTATTTCCACTCAGGCTCTAGCACGCTGTATATTACATGAATTTGTTTGTATACCTCTGTTATTCCTCTATAAGATGCTACGAAGGCAGGCTCCCCAGTGCCACGGCTGTGCATACTGTCTTAAGATTACTCTAGGTTCCCAGTAATTGTTTGCTGAATGAATAATTGAGGTTATTTGTAGTAAATTGGCTGAGACCCTAAAAGCAGCGTTTCTCAACCTCATCACTATTGACATTTTGTTTCAGATAATCCTTTGTGGTGGGGGCCGTCCTGTGCATTGTAAGATGTTTTGTAGAATCCCTGGCCTCTACCCTCTAGGTGTCAGTGGCTCCCCCACTCCCCACCAAAAATGTCTCCAGACGTGGCCAGAGTTCCCTTGGGGGACGAGCTCGCCCTTGGTGGAGACCCACTGCCTTAAAGAATTACCTTCTTAATTACCAGGCTTTACCTACATGCTGCAAATGCCTCAGAACCACCACCCAAAATGAAAGACGGTGGGCTGCATTTTTAAGTTGTTGTCCTTATAGAGAAGGAGAAGTGAGAGGTGGGGTGGGATCAGGGAGATTCCCCCTGCACCCCTTGCCTCAGGTAACTTTCAATACATATAAATCAGACCGTCGGACTTTGGATCGTCTGAAACAATAAAATCAGGAAGTTAATGAGAGTTTCTGTTCTGGGCCTTCGAGGGCAGAGATAAACGTTTCCTCCAGACACTTCATTGTATCTTGGCGCACGAGCTGAGGAAAGAAGTAAAGGCTTCATCATGAAGTAGAAGATCTGTTCATTTTAGATATTTCTTCCTTGGCCTCTGTGTCACACTCTTCTGTCCTGTGGACATCTACGGCTTCAGCCCCGGGAGGACCGTGCTGCAGCGTGTGAGCCCAGCATGCCCACGCTGCCGCCCTGGCACATGGTGTCTCCACGCCAGCTGAGTGTCATTCCCGGGGGAGGCGCGAGCAGCCCCAGGAAAGCAGCCAGCAGCATCTGCTTTGCACACTAAGGGTGGCAACAATGAAATTCCTCCTGGAAAGGTTTTCTTGCACGTTCATGGAGTAGAATAGAGTTGGATGAACAAGCCGGGCTCACGGCGCACAGGGTCTTAACAAATCTCAGCTCCAAAGCCATTTCTGTGCCTGTGCTCGATTGGTAGCCTGTGTTCTCTCAGGCAGGGCTAGACCCAAGCAGCTGTCCAGGGGAGGACAGCCTTGCCTTGGTGGCCTCTCACTAGCGGTGGGCGTTCGACCAGAATCAGTGGGAAGAAAACAAAATCCGATGGCATAGCCCCTGGAAGTGCAACTCCTCAGCAGATGGTGGTGGGGGCTCCAGGCTGTGTCCCTGCTTGGTTTGATCTCAGGCAGCCTGAATGGTTGGATGTGTGTCCCTAGGTCCTGGAGTCTGCGGAGGTAGCTCCATGCCCTGCAGCCTCTGTATTGCTGGGGGTGGGGACTGTTCGAGGTGTTGGGAGCAACTCTCACGTAGCTAGTCCCATTTTCCATAGTCTATAGCTTTGCTTAAGGTTTTTTTTTGGACTTTATATTTTAAAATAATATTTTCACAGGAAGTTGCAAAAAGATACAGAGAGGTTTCACGTGCCCTTCCAAACTTTATATTTTGAAATAATTATATTTTCACAGAAAGTCACAGAGGCTTCAGGTGCCTTTCCCACCTTCCCCCCGGTAAGACATCACATATGGGACAATATCAAAGCCGAGACAGTGACATGGGTGCAGTCCACAGAGCTCATCTAGATTT